CATGGGAAGATCTAAAAATCAAAAAATATGGAAGCATTTTACATATAATGCAAGTGATACAAAATCATTTACTTGCTTGCAATACGGTTTATAAATGGCCAATTGTTAATAAAATGGCAAAACATTTAACGAATTGCTGTAAATGTCCAACTATGGTGAAATGGAAAATTGGTAGAACGAATCCAGATGAACTTGCAACATGTTCAAAAGAAAATTCGATTTAGTCTACACCAGTTCCAGTTGTCAAAAGAGAAAGCGTCAAATGAAAATGCGAAAGCGTCATTTTGAAATGAGAATAGTTAATTATAAATGCGAAAGCGTCGAATGAAAATGCGAAAGCGTCATTTGGAATTGAGAAACCCGTTTTTATTCAGTAATGGTTTAGTATGGATATATATTATTGTAGAAATCAGAACTGCTTTATTTGTTTGCACTTGCTATTTTAGTGCAACCACGGAAACTTCTACACGTCGGTATCAAAAGTATCAAATTCACATATATAAAATATCAATCACAGCCAACTTACTGTTTTTACTAATAGCGCATGTCTTGTAACGATAAAGCATTTGCATGGAAGAATGTTTCGCGCTGAAATACTCTCGCACAGTCTCCTCCAGTAATTATTGCTTTTGCCGTCACCCACCCCCTTTTCAAAATATTGAAGCCGTTGCTCAACAAAATTTGGCACGTTTACCAGTGGGTTTGAGATGCGCCCCTTCACATAAATTTTTACTTTACCCCAAATTATTTCAATGGGGTTTAGAATGGGGGAATATCGCGCTAAACGTAGCAGTTGTGCTCGTCCATCGGAAGGATCACCCACAGCATTCTCAATTCTGGGGTGACATGTATCATTATCAAATACCATTTCTAAGTCGTCCAGGTGTTTTCCCTGCTCATCCCAACGATGCAAAACAGAGGCTATCCATGCACCACATGTTTCGTTTTTGAAGGGGCTCCCTGTCGATCGATTGTTTGGCCTTAAACGCATTACATAGTTATTGACAGTGTCGAGTAAATGATTTAAACAGATTCAAGCAAGTCATTATGAACTACAGATGTGTATACATAGGTTAAACCAGAAAAACTTACCAAACAATCAAAAGAGTATTCTTTGACGAAAATATGGACTTTATAATTCGTGGTAAAGTTTTTTCGAAACTCGACCAAGATAGTTTTCATCGGAATATCGGCCAGCTTTAATTTCTTGGCTTCTTAACTTTAGTTTGTTACTGTAATAATAAGACGTAATTTGCAAACTGCAACGATGAAGATCATAATCTTCTAAAAATTTAAATAATTATTACCGAGATAAGCGTCTTTAAATTAATTATTGTATGGTACATAATGATTTAACTTTTATATCTCATTTCGAAATGACGCTTTTGCATTTTCATGTGTGTGGCGGCCGCTGTGGTTTAGTGGTAAGCAGCGTGCGCTTCCCCTCCGCAACGCCTGGGTTCAAACCCTGGTCAAAGCAACATCGCAAAAATATAGAAAAATTGTTTTTTCTTAACAGCGGTCGTCCCTCGGCAGGCAATGTGTATTTCTGCCATGAAAATAGCTTCTCATACAAAAAAATACAATC